TAAACTACAATGACTGGGCTAATGTACATCATTATATATATATATATATATATATATATATATATATATATATATATATATATATATATAATATATAAACATTGAGCATTTATGGGCTTTAGAAAAAAATCTGAACAAGGAATGGGTATTTCTTAAAAAAGTGAATGGGTTAAGGACTGTGGCGCTCTCTGTACGCCATGTTAGATCCAGCAGTAGTTTCCCCTATAAAGGTGGGCCCAGTTTCAAATCCTGCCAAATTATATTATGTTTTCTCGTGAGCAAACGGGTAAACGTAATATACACGTCACTATTTAAAATACAAAAATTGTCTATTGAAAAAAAAAACAGGTATATATATATATGTATATATATATATATATATAGTCATAAGGTGTGCTATATTTATGGGATAAAGTGGTCAATATCAGAGATAGAGCGTGTGTAAATATAAAAGTGAACATTGCAGTCAAAACGTAGAGGCGACAGTCTGGTTCATGCTAGATGCAATCGTCAGGCCTGACGATCGCATCTAGCATGAAACAGCCTGTCGCCTCTAAGTGTTGACTTCTATGTTCATGTTATATATATATATATATATATATATATATATATATATATATATAAAAGTGTTGACTTCTATGTTCACTTTATATATATATATATATATATATATATATATATCGTCTCGATGACCGACTTCACTTCATGGCCATGTTGGTTAATACGTGCCAGGCTTAACGGTAATCTCCATCTATTGAAGAGCACCAATCATTTTTTAATCAAATTTCTTGAACATTCAGGTGGGCAGGCGAAAAGAAATAAATATTTTGTTTAATTAATAAATGGGTTGTCTATTGAAATCCAAGTATCCAGTAAAATTAACGTCTAAAGTGATATATATATATATATATATAAGTGAAAAGTGAATATAAATATAAATAAATATATATATATGTATAATTATTTATATATTATATGCGCGGTACTTATTAGAAAGCGCTCAATATCAGAGATAGAGCTAACATATTTGGTTGGATAGATGTGAGTTTAGACCCTGGGTTTCACGCTTTTAGCGATCGTCAGACAATTGTCTGACGATCGCTAAAGCGTGAAACCCAGGGTCACAAACTCACATCTATCCAACCAAATATATATATATATATATATATATATATATATATATAGAGACGTGTGTGTGTGCGTGTGTTTGAATGTGAGTTTTTTATAAATACGACTTATGATATAAAGTATTCTATTAACTGCTAGTATCCTATATAAGAAAACCGTTTCTTGCCACCTGACAATATACCATCCTGAAAACTTTTCCTAAGAACGGAAAACAAAATCAAATTTTATCTCCCTGTCCCTTTGATTATTTCTGACAATGCGAGAATATGTCCCCTGCGGAAGCTGAATAATAGTTGTATGGAGATTCCCCTGACAGGAAAAAGCAATGACCTCTCTTTCTTCCGCGAAGAGCCTGGAATTCGCCACAGAAAGTATTCAGCAGCATAAAAAAAAAACAACTTTGAAAAAATGATATTATCTATTATATAGTTTTACTTGTAAATTTCATCTTAATTCCAGTGGCTTTTTACCAAAACTTTATTGTAGCCTATAAGCAACTGAAATTAACATAAAAAGCAATGAGAAATATATAATAATTAGTAATGTTTCATATAATAATAGGTGTCATGAATTTTGAACGCAATTCAAAATAGCAAGAAGTCGAGACGGCAATGACCTTAAGAGACGCTTTATTCAACAGAAGACAAAAAAAAACCGGTGCAGGACGACGCCATTGATGTCTCTCCAAAGAATGTCTCTCTTCCCGGAATACAGAACAATTTATAAAGAAAACAATGTATCTTCATTTACATACAAAAAATTTACAGACAAAACATTAGTTCACACAAAGAAGAATTTGCACAAAACGAAAGAATAATGTTCATTTCCATAACAATAGTTTCAAGATACAAGTCGACGAGTAGAAAAAGAAATGTTTTCAAAACACTTTCATAAGAATATCATTGTAATGTAATAATCTAAAAAATAGGGTGGGTGTTAAACAACTTTGCATCAATTCGAGCCAGGTATTCACCATTTTCTACCTCTTTGCAAATGTGTATTTGTTTTATTCGGTGAAAATAAATGTTTTTTTTTTCGGCATGAGGCCGAACAATTTAGAGAACTTTTGTGTAAAAATTAAGCAATTTCTTTGCATGTAAAGATCGGCAGATTATCCCCGTCCACAGGTCATCTCGTCTTAGCTATCTTCCCAGATTACCACCGTTTGTTTGTAAAACGTATCTTAAATACGACTCTCCGAACCATTAATCTAATAGAATTATACCACTTTCTGGAAAACTCCTAGAGGATGTAATCAATGCCGAAATGGTTCATCATCTCTCATTGCAGGGCTTTTTATCTGACCAGCAATATGGCTTTCGTTTCTCCAGGCAAACATTTCATGTACTGATGATAATTGCCGAAAGAATCTCTCATGCTCTAGATAAAAACGGTAAAGCTAGAACTATAGTATTGGATATATGGAAAACCTTTGACAGGGTTTGACATACAGATCTTCTCCACAGTCTGAAAATTTAAGGTGTCTCTGGAAACATTTTTGAACTGATCTAGTCTTCAAAATGAAATAAAGGTTTTTTAATTGACATTTATGAAAAACGAGAATTATATTCAGTTTCATTAGTTAGATTGTGAGTTTGACATGGATCTTAAACTCACAAATCATCATCATCATTATTATTATTTTTATTATTATTATTATTATTAATATTAATATTATTATTATTATTAATTATATAAAAAATCTGTTCTGCGAAAAATTAACGCCCCTCTCGAGAAAATTATGTAACTTATTTTTAAAAATTATACTTGTTTCATATATATATATATATATATAAGGGTCCTAGGAAACCGGCAGAACACGAGATTTGATTATAGTGGTGAAGGTCCCGTGCAGGACCATCCACACTTTTTGAAGGGCCGAATACAGAGACATGGTCCCCAAACGACACTACGCATGTTTTGAATTCAGAGTTGTCCTTCTCCTAGACCAGTTGCCATCCAAGGCTATAGAACCCAGTCTGTCTTGCTAGTTATCCATAGCTGGAGGGAGAAGAAGAGGATTCACACTTTTCCCAAGGGTATTAGCATGCAAGCGAATGTAATGGATTCGACTGGAATTCGAACTCGGCTCTCCGATTCCTCAATCTAAGCCGCTATCCATTACTCCACCGTGCCTCCGTGTATATTTTTAAATATTTAAAATATTTTTATTATATTATATATATTAAATTGTAATAAAAACATTTTATATCGCTACACAAAAACTTTCACGTTCCGATACTAAGATGGTACTTCTTCAGGCGATGGTAGATAACTAATGATAAAAAGGATTTATTAGGGAAATTAAAAAAAAAAACAACAAATCTTTACCTCTTTTTGTGAGTGGGGGATTCGTCTATATCCTTTCATACTAATTCAAGTGTCCCCAGGGCTCCATCCTTGATCTTACACTATTTTTAATTTTCACTATTGACCTTCCCGATGATGTCAGCTCTCAACTTGTGATATACGCTGATTACACAACTATTTACTCCTGCCTCAGTAATAAGGCTGGTCATCTGGGCAAGGTTAAAATGACAGCTGATGTGCAAAACTATCTCTAGACTGTCGTCAATTGGGACAAAAGATGGTTTGTTAATTTTAATACCTCAAAAACTAAACTACTCTCCATTAATCACCTGAGAGACTTCTGTCTGCCCCTCCATCAACATGGCTCATGCTAACCTTCAGGAAAGGGACTCGTTGCGACTCCTCAGGCTCAGGTGTTCTGCTGGTATGAAGTGGAAAGACTACATTGAATCCATTGCTAGGGCAGCTGCTAAGGAAATCGGTTCACTGTGTCGTGCGAGACAATTTTTCTATCAGATTCTATCTTACATATCTATAAGTATACCAATCGTCCACACTTAAAATATTGCTGTCACATATAGTCCGGTGCCCCTGTTATTTACCTTGAAGAAAAATCAACAATATTACTGGTCCTGATCTGGCAGCTCGACTTCAGTCACTTTCCCACCGCCGTAAAGTTACCTCTCTATGTTGTTTCTATAAGTAATGTCATGGTAATTGTTCAAATGAGCTCTTCGTTATAGTACTTCATTCCCCTCTCCTCATAAACAATGAATCTTACATATGGGGACTAGTTAGGATTTTTCATAGAGTCATTGACATATTATGGTAGTTGCTGTAAGAATGGTAAGTAAAAATGCGTTGTTTTGGTGTAAGGAATTTTGTGGTGTGTTTGGGTCAGTGATCGTGGCTAGTTAAGTTTAATGTTAAGACAGAAGAAGACCATCCTTTTTTCCCATTCCTCTTTTTGGCCTTATGCCAGATTTCTGTCAATAAACGGAATAAATATCGCTTTTTCTTATAGCACAGAGGCTTCTTGAAGTACTAGACTGGCGTCGAGATCTCATTTTACAGCTGAGCTGATTAGATGTTACCGTGAGTTCTATGCTAACAGTTTCCTTTCTCGCACTTCTCGTTTGTGGAATTCCCTTCCGACTCCATGCTTTCCAACCAACTTTATTCTGCAAAAATTTAAATGCAATGTCAATCGCTATCTACTGTCCTCCTGTTTACTCTTTCCTCTCGTTATTAACGTTTCTGTTTCTAAATCTTCCACAACCTGTAATCCGTTGCGTCTTAGCGGCTTTATTGCCTTTCATGGGGTGATACCATTTAACAAAATAGAAACTATTGTGATCGCCTACAGTCGGTAACACCTCTTCAACTGAAATCATCAGAAGTGACAGCTGATTATATATTGAATGTAACTTGTCAACTTCAGTTCGGATATCTAAGGATGCAACGGAATACAGTCACGTGGTCTTTTTTCATTATGACAGTTAATGAGCTGTATTTGCATATCTTTGCATGAAATGAAGGCAATTATCGATCTGGCATTTAGATTACTCTATTGAAATGAATAAATGAATATAAAGAGAGAGAGTGAGTGAGAGTGAGAGTGAGAGAGAGAGAGAAGAAAACAAGAAGCTGAAAAGCAGGAAAGACAAATGGAAGCAATTCATGGAAGAAAGACGGAAGAGGGAAGGAAACATGGAAGGTAGAGAGAAGAGAAACTGTTTAACTGTAGAAAGAGAGAAAAAGGTAAGGGAAGAAAGAGAGAGAAAAGGAATGGAAAGAAGAAAGAAAGGAAGGAAAGAAAGAAAAAGAAAAGGAGAGAAAGAAGAAAAAAGGAATTAAAAAAGAAGAAAAGAGGAAAGAAAATAAAGAGAGAAAAAGGAAAGAAAGAAAGAAAGAAAGAAAGAAAAAGGGACGCAAAGAAAGAGAGAAAAAAGAAAAGGAAAGAAAAAAGGAAAGCAAATAAAGAAGAAGAAAAAATGGAAATAAAGAGAGAGAAAAGAAAGAAAGAGGAAAGGAAAGAAAGAAGAAAAAGGTAAGGAAAGAAAGAAAGAAAGAAAAAAGAAAAGGAAAGAAAGAAAGAAAAAAGAAAAGGAAGAAGAAAAAAAGGAACGGAAATAAAGAAAGAAAAGGGAAAGAAAAGAAAGATGAAAAAAAGGAAGAAAGGCAAAACGTTTAAATAATAAAAAAGAAAGAAAGAAAAAAGAGATAAAAGCAAAGAAGGCATAAAAGAAAACCACTAAAAGAGAAAAATATGAAAAATGATGTAAAGAATTAAATCATTCAATTAGGGGGAAAAATCGGTTGTGAGAATGTTAAATAAAAGACTGAATTGAGAAAGAATGGAATTGTGACAGATTCGAGAAGGCATTACAAGAATTAATAAAAAGGAATCTGAGATGTGGACTAAAAAACAAACAGTAAATGATTATAGAAAAGAATATGAAATCAAATCAATCAAAAGTGAAATATAATTTGTTGTATATATATATATATATATATATAAAATGAACAGAAAGAAATCAATAACGGGGGAGAAAAACCGAAAAAATGGTTAAGATAAATAAAGGGAGATAACTTATTAAGGAAGGAGTTGTCAAATAGTAAAATATTAAAAAAAAAAACAGATAAAAAATGAAATGAAATTTAGAAAAAAACTGTGGCAAGGTAAAGAAAAGTAGACAGAATTGTAGTGGGTTGGTATTTGGTATTTCATCCGGTATCAGAAGATGGTAATGTTGTTGGACAACAATAAATAACACAAAAACTTGGTTGGAAAAATTAAGGGTCAATTTTTTTATTGACGCATATGTGCGTACTAAACTCAGAGGTAAGAGAGTGGTCGACCTCAAATCAACGTGACGTTGAGAGAGGCTGACTGAATCTCCTTTCCTTTAGGATCGCTGCAAAACATGTCCGAATCCAATGATTTGAAAGTATCCATACGTCAGATGATCTCTTTTCCGGAAGTGGGGTCACAAATTTTATACATGACCGGAAGACTTTTTTTTTGTTTCCATTTGCATTATAGCAAAATGAAATTATTTTTTTTTTAATTATGTTTATTATTCCTTTTTACCTATTATATAATTTTCATTCTCCAACAGAATTCAAAGTGTCATTGGCTGACATTAAAGGCATAGTTCAAACGAGCTAAAATAAATCGTTTCTAACATTTTACATTCCGTAAATAAGTCTAAATAAATGGCTACCTAAAAGAATAACAAATGTAACGTTAAAAATGAAACAAGAGAATATGAAAGACTATAAAAAGAAAAAGAGCTTCAAAGAAAACAATTCTTCCGTTTTGGTTTCTACAGCTGCTCTTTCTAGTAATCAGAACAAAATACCAACAGAAAGCATTTATATCTTGACTATCGCATTAGCCTGCTTATGCTTGGACGCGGTGTTGTTGATATTGGAACATGCACGAGACTCAATGAACGAAGAGATCTACACAAACATTTTTTTACCGCCATTACTGCCAAGTTCAATATATACAGCACGTGCACTGTAATGGCAAAAGGCAGCCATTTCTTCTGTCGCTATGGAAATGTTGACGTCATTTTAAAATGGCCGACATATCGAATGTTGCTGATTAAGTAACTGCTTTTTTGTTGGTTTGTTTCCTGCACACATTTGCAGACATGCATATATTTATATGTGCATAAGTGCGGGTGTTTGAGCTGCCGTCTGTCTATGAATGTGAGAGAAATATACTTGACTTTATGCGTTGGATCATACAGAATATTTACAAGTATGCGCAAAACAGTGCAAAACTAATGTACACCTGGAGAATATCAGACAGCAAGAAAATTAAATCAAGACACACTCACACGTACATGCACACACACACACACACACACACACACACACACACACACACACACACACACACACACACACACACATATATATATATATATATATATATATATATATATATATATATATATATATATACTAGCAGCATGATCCGGTGTTGCCCGTGCTTGATTCAAAAAATCGTACGACTCATACAGCAATCGCTATCACTTGACTTAAAATATTTTTTACCCTTCCTTGCCTTTTAAAGGAGTGCCTTTGCCGTGCTGATGTTGCTACATGCCTTATTTTTTGACTATCTCACACTGCGAATTTTTTTTTCGAAGCTCTATACTAAACATTAAATCTGTTACGAAAAAAGAACTAAACAAAATGAACACAAAACGATCAGCTTTAAAAAAGGACTCGTAACTGGAAAAACCGAATGAAAAAAGAATGTTAACAACTAATACTTTTTCACACCCAACCCAGTTCTGCGGAATCAGAATCAACGTTGAGTTTAAGCAATCGAATGAGCCAATTGGAGTAAAGTGCCATGCAGATTTAAATTTTTCCCACTTGTGACGAATGCAGCTATCGATTTTTTTGCATGCTAGCATGCTAGTTAACATTTGTGTCAGTCAGCTGTTGGTTCTCACACTGACCAATAGAATCTTCCTGCCTATTCGTGGCAGCCAGCTATTGACTATCACTGGCCAGTAGAAAAAGGCCGCAAACTACATGAAAACTGCCGTAGAAGCATGAAAAAATGGATTATTTCCACTATCGATGGGAGTTGGGGAATGCAACGTTGGTCCTGGCCTTCCCACTAACTTGGAGCATGTGCATGTAAATTTTGGTGCAAATACGTCGAAAATTGCGGCCGTCTGTTCGTTACACACACACACACACACACACACACACACACACACATCCTGCCTATTATATATATATATATATATATATATATATATATATATAGAGAGAGAGAGAGAGAGAGGAGAGAGAATCCGCCTCACAAAAAAAAAAAACCCAAACAACTGTACACTTATCAGGAAAGGAAAGGCTAAATTTATTCTGGTATCACGAGATTAATACAAGTTATCATCGAACTCTACAATTCCAAGAGAATGGTATTCTTCAGCTACCAGAAATTTATTAGTACGGCGAAATACTGCTTGGGTAATATTGGCCAAAGTGTCCAGTGAAATCGCTGCAAAGACATTTTCAATTTCCTTGTCTAAGGGCCGCCAATGTAATCGATTTTCTGTGATACACAACACCCTTCAGAATTCTGCAGGTGTTAAATCAGGAGTACCTTCTGGTGATGGTGGATGCGGTTCAACCAGCATCCTTGCAAATTCTCATTCAGACAACTAAGAATTAATGGATTTTATTTTTAACCCGACACATTTTTATCACTTCAAACGTTACTTTCAGTGAATACCCGTATTGGAGTATGACACACCGTTTTAAACAATATTTATTCCAGCTACTGACCTGCGCATTCTAAGAAACTTAATAAAGAAAATTTTCCCTACAATAGGATTCAAACCTGCGTCCTCATCTTAGGAGGATATCCCGTCTGATTCGTGTTGGGTTGAGCTTTAGATCACTCGGCTATGGAAGATCTCGCAAGGAACGGAGGTTATATTTGCTTCAAATCTCTTCTGTTCAGTTTCATATCCGAAACGTAAAAAAAAAAAACAATTTCTAAAGAATTAATATGTTTTTATTTTTAACCCCACATATTCCGGATGACACATTCTCTTTATTTAGTTTTAGCGAATGCCGGTAGACCAAATAAACCCCGTTTAAAAAACGCAGCGTTCTTTCTCAACATTGTTTGAAGCATGTTTCATTAAATAATATAGACATATTATGTCTATTTATTTTATAATAATCCTTTCTACTTCCCTAATTTTCTTCTTGATGTTAAGTTAAAATTCATCAAGTAAGGCGACGTATTTTTTGTTAACCAAAGTAGTTTCGATCTCATCCGTGATCTTCCTCAGGGGTGAATTGCGGAGACAAAATTGAACTAACTGTAATCGGTGTGATAGTGTTTTTTCAAACACGCGAGAACTCGCTCGGCTATAATTATTTTAAATGTAATCGTTGTGGTTAAAATGTTTTGTAAATTAGCAACTTGGTAAACTTCAAGATACTGTTAATTATTAGTCAACTCAAATACATTTTAAATGATTGCGACTATACTCATAAGAAATTTTTTTGAGTTTTGGTTGGTTGTTTTTGCCACAGAGGGTCACGAGAATTTGAAGTTTTTGTTTATTATTTTCATGTGGTAATACATATATATATATATATATATATATATATATATATATATATGTGTGTGTGTGAGTGTGTGTTTCTCTGTGTGTGTGACTGTGTGTGTGTGTGTGTATACGTGTGTGGCCATACACCCTTGAAACCACACCAACAACATATGACGATTTCGTAATGGCATGCTTTGAATGCTCGACCTGCACTAGTGTGTGCAAGTTCAGGTCGGGCCTGAAAATGCACATGAAAAGTCACATTAGAAGCGATAATAATCAAAGTTAACTTGCTCCACACAGAGATGATTTGATATGCACATATGAGACAAGAAGTGCAGATCAATGGCTAGCTTTATGGGCCACTGTCGTTCACGCAACGAATGAATGCAGTGCTATGGGGCGGAGTTTAACCGATAGTCTGGACATGTCAGTGATGGTCATACTCGCTTTGTGCATCGACAACAACTATACACCCTTGTGTAAAATAATTGAAACAAAACGAATAATTCCATTATTATTTCCTTTTTTTGTAGTTTTCCAGTGAAACATAACCCAGTGCACATGTAGTACTTCGTATGTCTATTCCGCGAAGTCATTCCTTCCGGACTGACCACAGATTCTCGATTGGATTTAAATCAGAATTTCCGGGCCAGTATATAGTACTTTGATTTGCTCACTGATAAGTCTTGCCAGTGTGTTTGTGTAGTGACACAATTTCCGTAAGCTTTCTTGGAATAACGTCCATCGCTGAAAATGGCCGCAGGACAACTAATCGACAGTTGAGACAATAGTGTCTGCGCATGATAAAAATCTAATGCTATCACTGTTGACGCAATATTTTTCTAAGCCAAAACAAATTTCTTCATACACCCTGAAAATAGATTAATATTACTGAACATCACTGAAAATGACATCGAAAGAAATCGATTACACCCTGTCCCTTCAGTGGTTCTAAAACTGACAGAATGATGAAAGAAAGGAAACTAAAGCGGTTGTTTCAATTAATTTGCATAGGGGTGTATAAGAAATTCAACATTATCAAAAGGATCGAATTCATTACTGCAATAATAATCTATGAGACTAGATTACTGCACAGCTTATCCCGTTCAACGTTTGTTAATATACAGAAACAGACCTTTATTTAAGCCTTGTAGAAATAAACGTTTCTTTTATAAGCCACTCGCTCATGAGCAACATTACTAAAATTTTAATAAATTTAAAAAAACACTATTATGGTTGCTGATGCAATTAAAAAAAGAGAAAAGTCAAAAAGAGTTACTGGTTTTTTTTTAATCATTACTACTAAATTTTTTAATCTAGTTCACCGTGAGCAAGACAGTGAGGCCACTAAGACACCAGGGGTTACTGGGTATGAAAGAATTAAAAAGCAGAAAACTTATTTAGCTGCAAAAACAATAGAAAAGTATTCAGGAGGACAGTAGATAGCGGTTGACAGTGCGTTTAAAATTTTAAACCATGGAGCCAGAAGAGAGTTCCACGAACGAGAAGTGCGAGAAAAGAAACTGTTAGCATAGAACTTACGGTTGCATCTAACCAATTCAGTTGTAAATGGATGCGACCATGTCCTAATCTCAGTCGGCTTCTATCGTATCACGCGTAATTGTGTATATAAATGTATGCAGGCTCATTTTATGTCAGCTGTACAAATGTCAATTTGAAACTGTCAAATATCCAGCTGGCAAACTCGATGTCGGACACTTCTCAGAGTTCTCAGAGATGTACAAAGACAGAATTGAACATAGAGATTAACGCTATAATTGCATCCTTAAAGTAAAGTGACCGCCTACGAGAGCTTGATATATTCATATTTATGCCACATTCGACAGTTTTAAGCCCAATACAAATTTGAACAGTCATTTAAGAGTCGTATAGATAAAACACAGAAATGTCTGCTCAGTTCTGGTGTTCAACGGTATTTGCTTTAAGGAGGAAGCAGAAACATATTGAAGATCTTTTATACACACACACACACACACACACACACACACACACATATATATATATATATATATATATATACAGTGTGTATTTAGGCAGTATTTTTTCATTAATGCATGTTTCATTAAATAATATAGACAAGTGTTGTCTATTTATTTTATGTAAATTCTTTTCATGACGCCTGATAAGCTTAATAACATTATCATTAAACGAAGAAATTAAACGTCACACATGACCACGCGAGAGTGAATTCGAGAATTATTAAGTATTGGAAGCCGTTGGTGGTCATGTGTGACGTCATGAGCTGCGGTGCGATTTTCGCTTCTAGCGTGTTATATGCACGTGTTTATCGTTGCTTGGAAATCATCCATGTAAACAATAACAGACTATCATCACAGTCTTGTCCATATATTGCTTAATATATTGTACTGTAATTATCATCTTTGAGAATGGCTTATGTAAGCCGAAAGCTTAAATTGGATTAAAAAATATGGATCAATATTGTGATTTTCTTTCTTCGTTTAATGATAATGTTATTAAGCTTATCAGACTTTACATAAAATAAATAGACAACACTTGTCTATATTATTTAATGAAACATATATATATATATATATATATATATATATATATATATATATAAGGGTAAAAGATAATAGGAAACTGACGCGATAACGTCATCTGCAGAGCTCATGTTTGCTAATGAAGTTAGATCCATTTTTGACAAATTACTGTCAGGAAATAAGAAGCAACTTTGACAATTTCAAACTACCAGATCATTCAAGATCGGCGGTAATAGTTTTCTTTCAAAGTTTTAAAGCCGGAAAGGGAAATTGACAGGAATTAAAAGAATATTCAACGCCTTGGTAGTATGATGTACATTGTCGAAGGTGGACGATTTCGTCGTAAGAGACATACAGGTCAACTTAGGTCTAGATATGCACAGAATAAGTAACCAGTACAATTTAATTCACCGCTGAACATACTTTACGATACTTTTGAAGTACCTATTCGTTAAAAGGAAATTACAACACAACGCCAGGTTCAGTGAAAACATGATCCGACTGAAACATTAGAAGTGAACCTATATCGGAAAAAGTATCGACTAAAAAAGTGCACATCTAAAAAGTGGGGAGTTGCAGAAATGAAGACACCTCTCCAGAATAGGACTTGAACCCGTCCAAATACATATAGACTGGCGCCGAAAATCGTCGAAAATCCTCAGTGGAGAAAGAGAAGGAGAGCAAAAATAGAAAGTTAGAGACCTAGCTTATCTACTTACTACCGATCTCAGCAAGAGTACTTCTTGATTGTGTTATCTTCATTCAATGAAATCAAGGCATAACAACTGAAATATCTGTGAAGAGCTTTAAAGGCGAATCGAAACTGTGACACTGATATATGAAAGCACATTGTTATAGCGGAAGATGCCTTCTGAAGTTAAGCTAAGTAAGACAGACAAATAAAGACAGAAAGACAAACAGAAGGAAAGAAAGAAATAAAGAAATAAAGACAAACAGCAAGAAAGAAAAAGAAAAAAGACAAAAAGAAAGAAAGAAAAAACAAAGAAGAAGAAATAAAGAGAGAAGGAAAAGCAGAAAGAAATACTGACAGAAATAACAAAAGAAAGAAAGAAAGAAAGAAAGAAAGAAAGAAAGAAAGAAAAAGACAGTAAAACAGAAAGATCTTTGGCATAGCAAATACTAATATTGTTATTTTTTGTACATATATTTTTCATTGGATAAAAAATGCTGGGGTTTTGGTATTTCTAATCCTCCCTAGCCCAAAAAAAATGTTCAGTCATAGTTTAAGGACTTTCATTGAGAAAATGAGATGTTTGACTATCGTGCTACACCAGTAATGTTATGGTGAACGGATTATTATTTGTACGGATGGGCTCTATGGGTGCGACTAGCGAGGTTAAAACGAGATCAAACGAGCTTTCCTCATCGTCCATTTTAGGTCTTCTGGCACGTTTTTCCATGTTGTGCAAATAAATATTAAGAAAGAAAGAAATAAACAAACAAAATTGGGAAGAAACAGAAGAAAAAAAAACGAAAGAGAGAAAATCAAGTGAGAACAATAAAAAGATACATCACTTGTTAATTGTTGCAAAGAAAAACATTGTATTATTCACAGATTTGAATTTGAATTTTTCCGCAACACTAGCTACATTTTCCAGTTGCCGTGGAGCAATGGTTATCAAGATAATCTCACATACCTTTTCTACTGTATTCGATTCTAACTGAATGCCCCACACTTATGGTTTTGGGCCATACTAAGTGTTGTAGAGTAGTTTTCACAGTGGAGGCTTGTATTTCACTAAGTCGTCATAAATTAGGTTCGACGTACAAAACGTTAGGAACTTGAAATAAGAGTTAATGACGCAGCAATCTAGTTGTGATGCTTGATACTTCAATGTCCGACATCGACTGACTCGCTCAACACCACTGAGCACAACTGGCGACGCTACAACTACTACTACTTATTATGTGTGGCAGAGTCTATTAATAATAGAATAGGTACGTTCAGGTATGACATTAAGTTAAGGAGAGTAGATATATATTCTTCTTAATAGATTTACCACAAGCATTTGTTCAAGTGTACCTACTCGTGAATTTGTACAGAACTGCAAGGCGTTGATAATGTTAAAGCTGATTCACTATGGAAACTATAATAGATTTCGGTTTCTGTCTGTAGATGTTTAAAGTTGTAGGTGGGAGTGTTTTATATGCATGATTACACGGATATAGCTATCAGCGTTCCTATATATAAGGATATGTGATTATGTGTACATTGTTTTGAATAATAGTGTGTTATTACTCATGTGCATATTGGCGCACAACTTTGAGCTTAAGTGCATTAGTCAACCTAAGAGGGCAAATGTCTGGAAATAGCAGTCTGTAATAACCGCCCAATCAAATAGGATTAAAAAGGTCACGTGAGTCGGTTAAAATCGGACAGATGCCGCCATAGTGGTATTATTTGACGCTGAACCTTACAAGCTTAAACATCAAAGTGACTAATAACTGATTTTATGTGAAAAAAAAAGCTGTCAACATTAGAACGACAAATTATTATAATTTACAGTAATTAGGATAGAGAACTTTTAATTATGCAAATTAGATTTAGGATTTAGTGTGAGAAAATCCTAGAATAAGGAGTAAATGCAATCAATGAATTTAGCCAGATAGCCAGATAGAAGCGTAAACGCGAAACATTATATATATATATATATATATATATATATATATATATATATATATATATATATAATTATATTCCAGTATACATTGAATCTGAGAAATTTTACACAAAGATGGGCCGTAAAAGCAGTTTAAGTGATGCTGAAAAGAAAACTATCACCTCAGAACTCTCAAAAAGTAAATCTAACCTAGAAATTTCTAAAATGATAGGGAGGTGTCATCAAACAGCGAAAAAGTTCACCGCCGACCCCACACAAGTACGCAAAAGGGCAGATAAAGGCAAGCCGAGGGTTATTTCACGTCGTCTCATGTCACGACTTAAACGAGAGGCCACGAAGAACCCTAGACTTACCAGTCAAGAGCTTTCAGTCGCATTGGGGATCCTACTGTATCTAAAAGTACTCGGTGTCGGTATCTGAGGGAAATAGCAACAACAGTCAAACCTGTATCGAAGCCTCCGTTGACGAGAAATCACATTCAAAATCGATTGAAATGGGCCGAGGACAATATGAAGATTGACTTCTCGAAAGTTTTGTTCACAGACGAAACTCGAGCAACACTTGATGGGCCAGATAGATGTTTCAAAGTCTGGGTAATGAATGGACAGAATCGCCATCAGCGTTTGAAACGCCAACAATGCGGTGTAGGCATAATGATCTGGGGTGGTATTATTGAAAAAACATTAGTGGGCCCATGGAGAGTACCAGACGGCGTCAAAATGACTGCTGATGCATACATAGCGTTTATGAAGGAGCATCTTGAACCGTGGATGAAAAGACAAAGAGCTGCCTTCAGAAGGGCCATAGTTTTTATGCAAGATAATGCTCCCTCACATGCTGCTCACAAGACTGCTGAATATTTAAAACAGTTAGGCTTCGATGGACCTCGAAAAATGAAGTGGCCAGGAAATTCTCCGGATTTGAACCCAATCGAAAACCTTTGGAGCATCATGAAGCGAAGACTGTACGCCAACGGACGACAATTCAGGAGCAACGCTGAGTTGTGGGAAGCAATTCCTGACATATCTCACGGCATTACTGCAGATGAGATCCTACAATTAACAAATTCTATGGATCGTCGAATTCTTCAAGTAATTTCAAAACAGGGAAAGCACATTCCCTATTAATTTGTTTAAAAATGTGCCTTTGTTTGTATCTGTAGCTTCTTTTGGTCATAAACATCGACGTGCAACATTAATAAACGTTTTGTTTGCTTAACTGCGGGAATTTTACTAAACATTTCTAATAATTTGGCACGCTGAAATCAGCGTGGTGATAATAAATATGGCGCCAGTTTGTTTACATTGCGCAGATCAGTACAAGAATTTTAGTGATTACGCAGGTCAGTGTTGCCAACATTGTGTGAAAATTTTATGTGAATTGATTGGACAGTTTTTGAAATATTAGAAAAAAAGTTATCTTGATAATAATTTGGCACGCAGTATATATATATATATATATATATATACCAGGATAAGTGCAATAAATAATTTCCCCACTCCACCTTTTCTTCCTCCTCCTTTTTCATTTCCCTTCCTCCTTATACCTTTCATCCTCTTTTCCTGTGGTCATATAAGTCAGTGGAATATATTAGATTGTTCATCCTTCAACTTGCCTGAGGAGACATTGCGGTCGAATCCCGGGTAGCAAGGTAGACTGCTCTTTAGGGATTTCATAAATCTATTCTGGATTTAGTATTGAGCACGGATGGTCTTCAGCCTCCCATTACAGTATATTATTCGATATTATATATTGCATATTATATATATATATATATATATATATATATAACAAGCAATGTATATTGCTTCAAGGATTTTTAGTTTTTGTCTATTGTTTTCATGTTGGAGTATAATTGTGTTTTCGACGATAATTTTTTACGGAATTGTGTATGCGGCCAGGCATGTTATTTTAAATGCTTAAAAATGTTAGAGTTTTCATTCAAATACACACACACACACACACACACACACACACACACACACACACACACACACATATATATATATATATATATATATATATATATATATAGCTTTTGTAACAATGTTTTCCCTTGTGAAAGATCATTAACGAATTTGAAACTTTTAAAACCATTTGTTTTGCATTCAACATCATCACTTGATAAGACACCGGGAGTGTTGAAACAAAATGGCTATTTTTGTAGTGATTTTATAACATGTTTATATCATAAATTTTCTAAATAAATAATTATATCTGCTCTACTTTGTATTGAGCACTCTTTTAAGAATAGTAATTGTTGGTTATTGGAATTCATTCCGTATACACCAATTATATACTTGTATATATATATATATATATATATATATATATATATATATATATATATATACGAGAGAAATAGAAAAGTTAAAACAATTTCAATAAAATACCATTATTTCAAAATTGTCTTCATTTTCTGATTTTTTTTCGGGGGATTGAAAAGTAATTCCCTATTTTATGTGTGAGTGGCCAGCCAGGAGTACTGACTTAACATCGTGTGACTTTTTTCTTTGGAGTTTGTTAAAGGAGCTACTATACCAAACCAAGACTTTAGAAAAACCTGCATGACGAATATCAGGAGTTATGTCTTCCATACCACAAAATTCCTGTTGAAACCAAGACTTTAGAAAACTTGAATGACGAATATAAGAAGATATGTCTTCGATACCACAAGATTTCGTTTCAAAATCAGTTGACGTGATTTCTAGGTGGTTCGAGTAGCTGGTAGCGAAACCTGGTCCCCTTATCGAATTTTAAATAAAACCTCATGTTAAACACTTTCTTCTCATATCCATTTCTTGTAAAAATTATAATTAATAAATTATAAGTATTTTAAAATTAGGAGTAACTTTTCAATCCCCCTGTATAAAGTGGATGATGAAAATGCTTCGAATAACAAAGACGGGAGCCAGAATAATGTGATAATTGTCCATTTCTTCAGATTTGGGGTAAAGATATTTTCGTTATATATATATATATATATATATATATATATATATATATATATATATAATGTAATTGATTAAATACCGACAATTATTTTAAGACATTTTTAAGTTTATACATTCTTAAAATAATTTTCCGTTAAGGCACGTCAGGCTATATGACGGTTCCGTATGGGATACAGGCTCGATTCCTGTCGGAGGACGAATGTTTTCTATGAATATTTCTCGGATATTCAGGCCGGTAAATGTTATTAATACTGTTTATTATAAACAGAGCATTTACTTATAATAAATATAATATTTGTAACTATAACAAGAATGTATAAATATAAAAAATGTCTTTATATATATATATATATATATATATATATATATATATATATAGAAGGTTGCTGTTCTCGGACCAACCAAGAATCTGTTGGAAAAAAATTTTTGGATAAGTGTGTTGGCCGATAACTTTCAGCCCCTATATATATATATATATATATATATATATATATATATATATATATATATATATATATATGTGTGTGTGTGTGTGT